GCCCTCCTCTCACTACTGCCCATCCCTCCTCTCACTAGTGACGGAGGTCCTCTCACTACTGCCCACCCCTCCTCTTGCAGTGCCCGCCCTCCTCTCACAAGTGTTTTTTCTTGAGTAAGATGTCATACTGATTTTCACTTCAGTTATGTTGATTTTGTAATTTTTCTCTTTGGTTTTTATTCTGAGACTGATGATCTTAGGAGACTGGGCTGATTAATTTTAAAGATCATGCCATCCCCTCCTCTGACCAGGTAACCTGATCTTTGTTCTAAAATCTTTTCTGCATAGTTCTGTTCACATTTGGTTGAATTGTCAGGGAATTTAAGTGGTATAACATGTGTCTGGGTCAAAAATTTAATCTTGGTGAATTCAGTGTGGTGTAATGATAATAACCTCAGCTGTAGCTCGATTGCCAAGTAAGAGGTGGTCTCATTTGTCTCCCTGTTCACAGTCACACACACAAACTTATAAACTGGTTTTTAAAAACTGATATTTTCATTCTAAATGTATATGCACTTACACATTTGCTGGTGGAATCTGCAGAGATATTTGCACATCTCGTTCATCACCCAGCTGGCTGGGGTGCAGTGAGGCCTCCTCTTTTGTTCACCTGCTGACGAGGAGTGAGTTCTGGAGAGGCCTGCGGGGAAGACAGCCAGCCCAGAACATTGCGGGTCCTCCGGATTCCCCTCCTTAGCTCATCACAAGTCCGCCTGTCTCTCTTCATGTAGTTACTGCCATCAGTGGAAGGAGAGAGAATGTAGGTGACAGCAGTTTAAAACAACATTTTAAGGAGTCGTTTGAAAAAAAATTACTAATATGCATCCCCGTGTGCTCAGATGGCAGGGTGGGCGGCCTTGTCACGTGACTCATACACAAACCCATAGTTGCTTTTGAAAATTACCACTGTTCTCTGGTCTCCCCTCCCCCATCTCTGGCAGCCAAGGGAGGCAACAGAGAACTCCTGCCCAGCCTGGGACAAAGACCTTTTCTAGGAGCTTTACTTCCGCTGATTGGAGTCCAAATGCTAATTGGCATCAGCTGCATTGAATCATTGTGTGGGGCCAGCAGCTGCCGGGCCCTGGAGACATCCAGCAGGGCCCTGACCTTTCTTTCCAGAATGTCCTCTCGCCTCTCAGTTTCCCTAAACTCCAGCGCTTCTTCCCGCGTGTGTGTCTGGTTGTGGCCTCCCGGGCGGGGGGGGGGTGGGGGGGGGGATGAGGAGCAGGCATTTGGACCAGCCTCCCCACAGGGGTGCATACACTTGTCCGTCTGCCAGTTCCTCTCTTCTTTCATGTGGGGTTTGTTTAAAATTCCAGTTCTCGTCTGTTTTCTGTTGTGTCTTCTGGTGGTGGGGTGTGTGTATTTAAATGTTGGGTTGAGACCACCAGACGTGTTCTTAGCGAATGGTTAAAGGAGGTGTGCACTCAGTTGGTTCATTATCACTTTATCTAAAGACAACATAAGCCCCGTGTCAGTCAGTAGGCATCAGTCCTAACTACGGCTCCAGCTGCAGTCGCTCAAAGTCAATGGCAGGTCCTGCCTCTCAGACACTCTCTCTCCACCACGGTGGGCGCTCGTTACAGGTGACAGTGAGCACTGAACTCCTTTTTGTCTGGTAAGATGTGTACTAGTCACTGTTCTGTAATCATAGCAGTGAGAGAGGGATGCTCCTAGGTTAGTGATGGCGAACCTATGACACTCATTTTTTTTGGTTGATTTTTCTTTGTTAAATGGCATTTAAATATATAAAATAAATATCAAAAATATAAATCTTTGTTTCACTATGGTTGCAAATATCAAAAAATTTCTATATGTGACACAGCACCAGAGTTAAGTTAGGGTTTTTCAAAATGCTGACACGCCGAGCTCAAAAGGTTCACCATCACTGACCTAGGTCATGGTTTCATTACATGTGTCTGCCCGCACCTTAGCTTCCGGGACGCAGGCCGCCCGGTGCCCATGTGCCCGCCGTGTGTGCCAGTGTGCACCTGTGTTTCACACCAGTGGACAGCACGGAATTTAGGCCTGCAGAGGAGTTTAAATGTGTAAGAATTCTAACTTGGTTGGAACCCATCCTCGGAGTCCTTCATGATCCTCTGCTGTTGCTCAGGCGCACCGCCTGGGAGCGGAGAAGCAGCGCTTGCTCTCTGTCCTGGGGGAAACCTGCTGGCAGTGCGTCCTGGGCCCTGGAGGCCCTGGTACCTGCTGCTGTGGGTGGGGGTGGGGCTCAGCGCTGGAGGAGAACTGAGTCTGCACAGCGCACGCAGCTGCTCAGAACTTACGAAGCGATTGCCAGCTCTTACCACAAACGAAATTCTGATCAGCGTTTCCATTTGTCCTGCCCTGACTCAGCATTGCTCTTTTCGTTTTCCTACAGCCTTTACACCCCAGCTCCTTGTAGGTTCACTGATGAGTATAAAGAGAAAAACAAACCTCCAGTTCGCTTTCTAATGACCTAGCCCCGTGTAAGGAACGTGGAGGTTGGCTTTTCGGGCCGATGTGTTTCACTGTGGCCTGTCCCGGAGGAACGCATGCCTCCCAACAGGAGCATGTTTTAGGGCCGTGGTCATGTGCCGACTGCTGTTAGGAATCCTTCCTCTCAACTAGCCTCAGGAGCCCACAGGCACGGGGGCCACGTGCTGGCGCAGAGGAGAGCAGCTTCGTGCGCCCTGTGCCCACGCCGTGGTGGCAGCTCACTGTCCCCTGCGTGAGGGAGTGGCGGACAGAACCCAGGACTGTGCTGTGGATGGATTGGGCGTCTAGTTCCACTGGGGCCTGCCCCTGTGCCGCCAGCTAATGTTTTAGTATGAAGTTCCTTTGAAGAGAGTCTGTTCTGTCGCCCTAGCCAGGCTGAACACTCGTTCTATTTAGCATTAAGGTAGCATCCTAGTTATTCAGTGTCGCATTTTTTATTGTTGCTCTCAACATGGCCCTGTTGAAATCACAGATGAAATGATGCGCATTTGGTGTGATTTTTCTGTGTACCAGGCTCAAAGGATGGTACAATGTCCGCAAATCAATAAATGTGATGCATCACATAAACAAACTGAGAGACAAAAATCACATAAGGAGTCACAGGCTGTCAGTGACTGTACTTGGCCACAGGACTTTGTTCTCATTCGCAGTCGTTACCTCGTGAGGCACATGGCAGCTGTGCCTATAGACCAGTGGTTCTCCACCTTCCTAATGCCGCGACCCTTTAACACAGTTCCTCATGTTGTGGTGACCCCCAACCATAAAATTATTTTTGTTGCTACTTCATAACTGTAATGTTGCTACTGTTATGAATCGTAATGTAAATATCTGATATGCAGGATGTATTTAGGCGACCCCTGTGAAAGGGTCGTTCGACCCCCAGGTTGAGAACCGCTGCTATAGAGTATCTGTAATATGCTCATGCTGGGGCAGTCGGAAGCCACCATTTGAGAATTGCTTTTCTAAGATGATTCATGTTTGTTATGTGTTTGGTTTCCAATGCAGTGGTGTACAACTGGAAGTTTCTCTTTAAAAGATGGTTTCTTTCCCTCTCTGGCCTGGCTCAGTGGCTAGAGCGTCGGCCTGCAGACTGAAGTATCTCGGATTCGATTCCGGTCAGGGCAAGTCCCCGATTCTTGACGCAAGGATGGCGAGAATGGACTGGAAACTTCTGTCACTGCCTGTGGGGAGGGAAGTAAAGTCGTGCACATGATCAGAAGCCACACGTCTGTTTTTATTTTTTCTTAAGGATGAAGAGGAAGAAATCAAACTGGAGATAAATATGCTGAAGAAATATTCTCATCACAGAAATATCGCCACATATTACGGTGCTTTCATTAAAAAGAGCCCCCCTGGACATGACGACCAGCTCTGGGTAGGCACTGTGTCTGTCTGGGGGTTTCCTCGTGGGCCGGGTGGAAGGCAGCAGGGACCTTCCAGAGGAGGAGACAGCAGAGGAAAGGGGCTGGTGTCTGGGATCTTTCTTGGGGGACATTATACTGATGTTTATTTTGATGTTTTCACTTTGCCTGTTTCAGGAATAAAATGGCATGTTTTAAAAACAATGTAATTAAAGAGCAAGGAAATTAGGATCTTGAAAATAAAAAAATAAAAACTTTAATTATGAAAATTAACCAGTTAACTGCTACGTGTCCAAAACGAAACCATCCTTGCGTCTATAGACGCTTATGGCGTACAAAGGGTTAACATGGAAGCTGTACTGAATGAATCTTTCTTTATTACCTGGAAGTGAGAGACAGATCACAAGAAAACAAACATATCAGTAATTTTTAAAAGTATTGGTAATAAGTTAATTAAAAACAATAAATTCCAGGGAAATTTCTGGACTTTGACACATTCAAAATTCTCTCTTCTTAAACACATATATATTCAAGATGATGAAACAGATATTGTCAGAAATATGGTCATCACATTGGTTACGCCAAAGGCTCTGGACGTAGAGAGCAGTAATAGAGATCAGTCCTTTTCCTATGTTTCAAAAAAAGCCATTGTAGAAAATTTGCAAAATTAAGAAAATGCAAGGGAAATAGTTACTTTCATTTCAATTGCCCAAATGTCATCATAGTTAAAATTTTAGTTCAATTCATTTGATTTTTCAGGTACTTAAAAAATATACTTACGTTCATGTTGTTCAAACATTTAGATACAGTATATAATATAGTTTTTAAAACTATGTGTTACTTAAAAAATAGCATTTCTCTTTTGTTCTAAACCCAGTCAATGTAAAATAGTTTGAGAATCGTAATAGTCTGATTTTGGCACATGAGAAACACTGTTAGGGAGTATTTGTACCAGGTTTCTGATAATTGGGCGTTGATTAAGAACAAAATGGTCCTCCAGTCCCGTGTGCGTGGGAGAGAAAGGCCCCGTCAGCACCGGGGCTGGGGGCTGGCGGGTCAGCAGCCTCAGTCGCCTGCTCCAAATGCGCACAGTTACTACTTGGATGGTGACATGCTCTCAGTAATTTGAATGCCTCCAAAATGAACATGTGCCTGGATCTTCAGGAAGGCAAACGGAGGTCCGACTCCTGGCTGTGTGGGTGCCCATGTTGTGCCTGCCCAGCGTGTGAGTCGCTGTGTGTGTTTCCGCCCGCAGCTGGTGATGGAGTTCTGTGGGGCGGGGTCCATCACGGACCTGGTGAAGAATACCAAGGGGAACACGCTCAAGGAGGACTGGATAGCGTACATCTCCAGAGAGATCCTGAGGGTAAGGACAGGCACGGCTCTGGTGCCCACCGGGCTCTGGCATTTCCGTCTTCACTTCCCTTGCCCAGACTGTTCCTCGAGTTATAACTGCACAGATCCTTCTTGTCTTGACAACCAAGGGCTCTGTATCGCTCGCTGGCTTTGATAGTTTAAGCTTCATCATGGTTTTGATCTAAAGATCCAAAGTATTCTGGCAAGTATCTAAAGAAAGTAGATTGAAAGAGGAAACAATTTTTTCTGTATCTCCCTGAATTCACCTCCAGGTGTTGAGAAGTCAGAGTGGAGGGGAGAGAAAGCGTCCTGCTTTTCTCTGAGAGCCCGTGTCTGAGCCTGCGGGCCAGCAGTGGTGCCGAGCACTGGCACCTGGTCAGGGCCAGGCGCTCGCTGCTAGTCTGCTGCAGTATGCATGAGGGAAAGTTCCAGTGCTGCTTACAGCAGCTGGAGGCTTGTCTCATGATCTTAGAGGAAGTTTCTGCACTACTATTACAGCAGCTTCTGAAGATCCCTCCTGGTGGCAGAGCCGCCCTGATCACAGCCAGGGAGCCTCTGGCCGGTCGGCGAGCTTAGCTTCCTCCGTGCTTGTCCCTGGATTACACACATGAATGGCTTGGTTTGATTTCATTTACCCCATGTTCTACTGAGTTAAACTGGAATCTAATTGTTAGGCTTCTCTCACTAATACAAAAAATTGTTACTTTATTTGTAGGTGAATTTATCCCCATTTTTATATTGAAGTTTCATAGAGGACTACAGGTTTAAAAAATGCCAAGTGGAATTCATAGAGATAGGTTTTAATTTCTTTTTATTTAGATATTTTAAAGCCCATTGCACGGATTCGTGCTCCAGTGGGGTCCCTCAGCCTGGCCTGCGCCCTCTCGCAATCCGGGACCCCTTGGAGGATGTTGGAGAGCCAGCTTCGGCCCGATCCCCGCAGGCCAGGCCGAGGGACCCCACTGGTGCACAAATCCCTCCTTCCCTCTGAGATCCATTAGTCTGTTCCATGTTTCCATGCCTATGGTTTCCGATCCTGCATTGAGCATCTGCTCCCTGGTGGTCAGTGCACGTCATAGCTACCGGCCGGTCGCTTAGGCTTTTATATAGTAGGTCCTCGGGTTATGTCAGAGATCCGTTCCTACAGCGCAACATAACGCAATTTTCGTCGTTAAGTCGGAACCCACCTACATAAGCACCTATGTCACTCACATGGAGCACATGCACAGCAGTAATGAAGTGAAACAGTAAAAAAAAATTAAAAGAAAGATAACAATTCCTGACCTTTACTTGTGGTAAATAAATAATAAACAACATAAAGCACATATGTACATACGTCGAAATGACGGAACTTTATTTTTTATAAATGGGAGATGGCGACATAACCACAAAACAACGTAACCACGAAACAACGTACATTGAGTCTGACGTAACCCGAGGACCTGTGTAGATTTTGCACAGCCCTTGACAATAGGAAATTCCCTTAAGAAAACTAGTTGTGTGGATGAAGTGGGAGAACCATCTATTTATAGTCACATTCAAATTTTATTATTAAAGCATCAGGGTTCTTGTCTGAGGCTACCACGGGGAGCAGGGTGTGAGGTGGGGAAGGCGTGCGCCTGCCCGCTGAGATGGAGTGCAGGGTGCACGGGTGTGCGGTCAGCTGTAAGGAAACAGCCTGGTGGACAGGAGGGCCCTGGCTAAGGCTGTGGCTGCTGGAGTCCATCAGGCCTGGTTGTGAGCCCTGCCCTGCTGCTTACCTTTTGTGCACCCTTGGCAGCGTCACTCGGCTTTCAGGACTGCCTTTCTCACCTGTGGATACAGGTACCAAGCCTGTAAAGGGAGTGCCTTCATCAGGAGAATTAATGTCAATGTATCAGAGTCATTTAACGTGACACGTGCATACACAGCTAATGCTCATTTAATATTAGTTGTCCTTACTCTCTTAGAAGCACACACACACATCCTTCCTACATGTAATTCCGGTGTAGGATTTCTCAAGCAGAGAACTAGGTTTCATTGTAAATGTCTGAGCCATCAAATAAATGTGTTTTAAACACATTTCATCACAGGCAGTTTCATGCTTTTTTATTTTTTTTCCCAAAGAGCTTGCAAGGCCAAAGCTGGAACAATTTTTTTAAAATTGATTTCAGAGAGGAAGGGAGAAGGAGAGAGAGAAACATCAATGATGAGAGAGAATCATTGATTGGCTGCCTCCTGCATGCTCCTTACTAGGGATCGAGCCCACAACCCGGGCATGTACCCTTGACCGGAATCGAACCCAGGACCCTTCAGTCCACAGGCCGATGCTTTATCCACTGAGTCAAACCAGCTAGGGCGGTTCCGTGCTTTTATGTGCACAGGCATACGTTGTTTACCTGGTGTGTGCACTAAGCATGTACTGCTAGCCCGGGTGTTTGAGGTGGATGGACATCATGTTGAGATGCAGAAGTGTGTTCCCCAGTGAGCGCGTGACTTGTCTTTCCTGTGACAAAAGTCTGAATGAACTTAAACACACCAGCCTCTGGGATTCAGAAGCAGACACCGAAGCAGGTGTGTATTTATCATGAAGGAATTGCTAGGAGTCGTTCTGGTAAGGAGAGGGCTGTAGACAGGGAGGTGAGCTCTCCTGGGAAAGGAAGGCCGCGCCCCCGCAGAGGCGTGGGGGCCCTGGAGAATGTGCGGAGGGCGGGACCTGCTCTCGCTCCTCAGTGGGGGTTGGTTCGGACGCTGCTGCGGTGAGGTCCCTCAGAAGGTGTCTGGAGTGTGTAGAAAGCTCCTGGCGGCCCACTGGACCTCTTGAGACCAGAAGGTTTACCGACATCCCAGCACTTCGCGTTCAGTCTGCACGGCAGTCACGTGCATCTAGGTCAGTGGTCGGCAAACGGCGGCCCCTTGAGTGTGGCTCTTCCACAAAATACCACATGCGGGCGCGCACGTACAGTGCGATTGAAACTTCGTGGCCACACTCAAGGGGCCAAAGAGCCGCATGTGGCTCGCGAGCCGCAGTTTGCCGACCACTGATCTAGGTGGAAACGGGCGTTTTTACGGAGAGGCACTTAGAGCCTTTCGCAGCCAGTGCTGAAGGCCGGCCTTCTACCGCTCCTTGTTCCCTGTCCAGCAGTGAGATAGTTGCAGAGACTGCTCCCCAGCCTTGAAACCGATTCATTGTCTGGAATGTTTACTTGTGTGTATTGGGATCTGTCATCTGTCTCTGCTGAGAAAGAAACGTTGCAGCTTGGTTTTTGACATGGGAGCAGCGAAACATACACGTGTCGTCCCTCCCGGGCACGCCATACAGGAAAAATGTGTTCGCTGTTCAGAGCCGTCCTGGCTCGGGGTGGCACTGGTGACCAGCGGCGTCGGTACCCAGTGGCCACCCTTGGCCGTATACAGCACAGGAGACACGCCTATGTATGTTGCTCGTTAGGAATAAGAATACCCAGGCCACGTTTGTCTGAGGACACTTGGGTACTTGTGTTTGTTGCTCAGATGATGCTATAAAAGTGTAAGAAGGGGTTTGTGCAAATTATAGAATAAACGATGAACAGAAGTAGTACCAGTAGGAGATAGCAAAGAATTAGGGAAGCTACGTGTTTTTTGCCTCTTCCTTTGCTGCTCACAGTTGTTTCACACTGAGAGGAGGGCTTTCTTCCTAACTGGCCCTGTGGTGGCTCATGTGTTAGTACCTCTCCCCCCTGCCAGTGCCCGTGGCTAACCCTGCACACACACCCCCCCTCCCCCCCCACACACACGGCTTCACACGTGGCTGGTGGAGGCCGTGGGCAGCCCTGTGCTTGAGAAACAAGTGTTCTAGAGCAGCTGTCTCATTTACTTCACAGCCTTCAAAGTCATGATAACAATAAAACCCACAAGCAATGGAACAGGAAAGTCAAACCCTTCTCTTCAGTCCACCCCTCGGAACTAGCCCTTTCCCAGTGAGTAGGCTGCTTGTATCGGAAGGAGGCAGGCTCTCAATTTTGCTTCTCGAGCTAAAGATGGGGCAAGTAAAGGAGTGAGAGAATGGGGCATTTTATCTTTAGACCATATTTGGATGCAAAATGTAGTTGTGTTCTTGCTCCCCCCCCTCAGAAGAGACTGCTCTCGGGCTTCCTTCCAGATACAAGGTCATCAAAAAGCACTATATGCCAGGAGATTTCTCTCTCTGGGAAACACATACTCTAACACAGCCGTGGGCAAACTATGGCCCGCGGGCCGGATCCGGCCCGTTTGAAATGAATAAAACTAAAAAAAAAAAACAGACCGTACCCTTTTATGTAATGATGTTTACTTTGAATTTATATTAGTTCACACAAACACTCCATCCATGCTCTTGTTCCGGCCCTCCGGTCCAGTTTAAGAACCCATTGTGGCCCTCGAGTCAAAAAGTTTGCCCACCCCTGCTCTAACACAATGGTTCTCAACCTTCTGGCCCTTTAAATACAGTTCCTCATGTTGTGACCCAACCATAAAATTATTTTCGTGGCTACTTCATAACTGTAATGTTGCTACTGTTATGAATCGTAATGTAAATATCTGACATGTAGATGGTCTTAGGCGACCCCTGTGAAAGGGTCGTTGACCGCCAAAGAGGTTGTGACCCACAGGTTGAGAACCGCTGAACACAAAGCTCTTTTGATGGCCGAACTATTTTGCATTTGGGGTAGAGGTGGGATGATGGGCTGTGTGCTGGGGAACCCAACTCACCTTTGCTTTCCCCGGGATGTGTCTAGTTCAAACATACCTCGGGGTCACCCCCTGAAAGATGGGTGCACAGTGTGGGAAAGGCACCGGCGGTGCACAAATAGCACAGACTGTAGCCGCGCGAGCACAGTCATCCACAGCGTGTCTCGGGGCAGCTGGAACGTGGTGACGCTACCACAGGGACCTAGCCCACCGGAGCGGAGGGTGGGCATGTGCTCTGCCTGTGGAGTGCTGTGAGCAACGTCTCCCGGGAAGCGCCGGAGAGTGAATTGTATGTTCTAGCCATGGTCCGCAAAGCCTGTGGCCCGCACACGCCCTTCTCAGGAAGGCTGTGTCTTGGTGACTGACTTACAGAGATAGCGACTAAAGTTCAGTCTGTCTTCCTACTCAGGGCCTGGCGCATCTTCACATCCATCATGTGATTCACCGGGACATCAAGGGCCAGAACGTGCTGCTGACCGAGAACGCAGAGGTGAAGCTCGGTACGTGACGGAGGGCGCAGCCAGCAGCACCCCCTGCCCTTTGGCATTAGCCAGCGTTCAGCCTGTGCCTGCACTGTCTATGTCTGCGCTCTGTAACAGGTTATTGCTTAGCCTGGCTCCACCCTTCCATCATGTCCCCCCACCACCATTCTCTGTGTAGCAGACAGACTAGAGTCTAAGTCAGATCATGTCATTTTCCTGCTTCAAGATCACTAATAACTTTCTATTTAACTTTGAATAAAAGCCACATTTCCTGTCATGGCTCATAAACAGCCATGGCCCTGCTACTGCTAGCCTCCTTCTGTGAGGACCTCACTCTTCTTCCTCAGTGACCAACTTATTTCCTTGGGACTTGCCTCAGGGCCTTCGCACAGACTGTTCCCTGGGTCGAAGCTGCAGTGTTTTCTTCATCCTCATTGGCCTTCGCTGACCCTCTGATCTGTGTCGGGTCCTGCTGCCTTGTTTCCTCCATAATAATGATCACAATTCATAATTATTAAGCTATTTATTTACTTATAATTCTGACTCCTTTATGAGAATATAAGTTCTGGGGGTACAGCGACCAGGATTGATTTATTTGCCGGAATGTTCTTAGGCAGCACCTGGCACGGTGCCTTGAATGTGGTAGGTGCTCGGTAACATGTGCATAATGGGAGTGGAGCCCATGGTGTCTTCCTGGACATGGTTTGTGGTGGTTCTCTGTTCCGGTGGCTCTCTGGGTTTCCGGTTTCCCTTGCCTGGATCTCAACTCACTCGCACCCACTTTCATATAATACTCCTGTCAGATTTAAACAGGTTTAACCTTGTTTTCTTCCACTAAGTCATCATGAAAACTATGCTTATAAGGATCTAGTCCACCTTTAAAAAGTTGTAGGTGCCGCAGCTAGTACTGAAAAGTAAGATCTCATCATTGCTCTTGCGAAGTGCCTGCAATTACTGGCCATCTGTGGAGGAATAGTCTGCCTAATTGGGATCCCTCCCAGCTCAGATGGAGGCACTGGCACGGCTCCCTCCCGACTACACAAGCCGTGTGTTCCCTGTGCACCCGCGGTGTGGCCTGTGCATCCCTCAGTGGTCACTTGCTGACCGTCCCCTGGCCGACGAGCCTGTCTCAGAGGAATGTGCACGCCAAGAGCTGGCCAGGTGGCTCCTCAGGCTGATCCGCAGGCAGGAGTGGAACCTGTACCCTGGGAGTGATCTCGGCTCGGAGGCGACCAGGCCTGGCAGCTTCCGGGCAGGAAGAGGGCTGCTGGCTCCCTCTGGAAAGGCTGCTCGTCGTGTGATGACCGGAGGAGGCTGCATGTCGGTGACATGTTCCTGCTCAGTTTGCTCTGAAGACACCGCCTCCGAGTTCTCGTGGTCTTGTTTGTTAGTTGTGTTTCACATTTTCTCGCTTTCTCCTCTTCCAGTTGATTTCGGAGTGAGTGCTCAGTTGGACAGGACTGTGGGGAGGAGAAACACCTTCATAGGCACCCCCTACTGGATGGCGCCTGAGGTCATCGCCTGCGACGAGAACCCGGATGCCACCTATGACTACAGAGTAAGAGGCACCTGCTCGCTTGGCTCACTGGGTCCCTGCCGTTCCTTGAGGGACAGGCCCTGCTGACGCACCGCCCACCCTCATCCTGCCTGCTCCCTCGGGGAGGGTGCCTGGGCCCCTGTGCGGGTGTAGCACTGTCAGCACAGCGTTTCAGTGGTTCTCAACCTGTGGGTCGCGACCATCGGAAAACACATATAGCATATCAGATATTTACATTACGATTCATAACAGTAGCAAAATTACAGTTATGAAGTAGCAATGAAAATAATTTTATGGTTGGGGGTCACCACAACATGAGGAACTGTATTAAAGGGTCGCGGCATTGGGAAGGTTGAGAACCACTGGAGATGCTGCCTTCTCGTGTCCATTCTGCACCATCACCGGTCTTCTTACTAAGGAACAAACTGCCTCCAGGGCAGCCTGGGCCACTGGGCAGATCCTGTGACAGAGCTCCGCCTTTTATCAGGTCACAGTGTATTTGCATGACTGCAGTGCCTCCAGGCACGTGGCTCAGCCGTGCATGTCCTGATCCTGACGGAGAACCACATTTGACCCTCAGACTTGGGTTGAATATATTAACCCAAACAAGTTTTTAAAAAGTCCCCTGGCCTTATCTAACAAGTCGGAGTGGTTCATGTACCTGTTTAATAACATTCAGAAATGAGTTCACGTCGTAACACTGTCCATTTCCACAGTATCTATATATAAAAAGGCCTGTGCAACCATTATGAACGACCAGTTGACCAGTTGCTATGACGCACACTGACCACCAGGGGGCAGATGCTCAGCACAGGAACTGCCCCTTGGTGGTCAGTGCGCTCCTACAGCCAACCTCCCACGGTCACTCCCCCCGGCCGGCTCCAATCAGTCCCAATCGCTGGCCAGGCTGAGGGACCCTGCCCGTGCATGAATTCGTTTATTATAAATACCCAATTAACAAAATTTAATTTAAGCTTATGGTGTAGAGGAATATGCATTTTATTTTTTTATTTGCTGAAGTATTTTCAAATAGATTATAGATTCTATGACTTTTCACTCTTTAATACATCATTCTGAACCTGCAAAATTTGCAAACATTTTCCAGTATTTTCATACATAAGTAAATTAAAAATAATTTTTAAAGACAAAACCCGTAGTTAGACCCAGCTGATCACCTGGATTAGCAAGGTTGGCTTGGAGGAGAAGTGGTTGGCTCCGCCACACTGGGCATGGGCCTGCTGCGGAGGTGGTCCCAGGTCCAGGTGCTGCACCCTCCCTTGCTCCCTGCAGTACGGAAACCTCCATGGAACCAAGGAGAGCTGTGTGGGCCTCTCCTTAGTCCTCTGATCAAACATACGTGTTTGCACTCTAAGTAATTACAGTAAAACCATGAAACTGAACAACTTTAGTGATTCCCATGTTATGAGAGCATATAAACAAAAGAATGCTAATGATAGCAATCCTTCGTTAATTACTGTAAAAGCCTTATTTGGATTTTGAGAAATTGGCTGATGAACCTTTATTCATTCATCATCCATTGTTTATGGAGTGCCTACCACATGCCAGTCACAATTCCAGGGACACAGAGGTGAATGAAACAGATGAAAATACTTGTCCTCGTGGAGAACAAAGTTAAAATTCAGCTTCTAAAACTAAGAAAAGATTCCATGCACAGAAAGCCCTTGACTTTAGTGCTCACTCCTTAGGAGTAGGCAGGGCGGGCGGGGCCTGGGGGGTGACTCTCACAGTGGCCACAGTGTTTCCTCCGCAGGGCAGGGCCTCACACAGAACCCTCCGGCCGTTCACTGGTAAACGTAAAAGGAGGCATATATTAGGGCCAGGGATCTAAACGATCTAATGCTCATAGAGAGAATGAAACACTGGGCAGAAGAGCAGGCGCGGGCCGGGGGGGGGTGCTTGCCCAGGCACCACCTCCACTCCCTCGTAGACATGAGTGGTTCTAATGAACAAATCACTTTCATCTTTTTTTTTTTTTTTTATAATTAAATCTTTTTTTTTAAAATATATTTTATTGATTTTTTACAGAGAGGAAGGGAGAGAGATAGAGAGTTAGAAACATCGATGAGAGAGAAACATCGATCAGCTGCCTCCTGCACATCTCCCACCGGGAGATGTGCCCGCAACCCAGGTACATGCCCTTGACCGGAATCGAACCCGGGACCTTTCAGTCCGCAGGCCGACGCTCTATCCATGGAGCCAAACCGGTCTCGGCCACTTTCATCTTTATCTTACTTATTTGAAAGGTATTATCACAATTGTGTGTGTGCTTTTAACTTCTTGAGAGTTTTTCCGTTTATACACCAGAAAATGCATTTGTCCCATTTGTGTGAGTAAACAGCCGTGTTAGCTGGGGGCCTCGTGTCTGCTATGCTGCGCATGACGTGCTGTTCTGTTTTGCAGAGCGACCTTTGGTCCTGTGGCATCACCGCCATCGAGATGGCAGAAGGTGCTCCCCGTAAGTAGCGTTCTCTGTAGCCCAGTTGTTACCTGAAACGTACACCTAGCTCTGAGTCTCACAAAGAACAGTTTCATGGATAGAGCCATTCCTGGGGGGGCCCTCGATGAAGGGCCCTGAGCGCAGTGAAGCTTTAGGTTGAGAGGAGCCAGTGGGACCCACTGTTCCTTTTGGAGATGTGGGTGAGCTCCGTAGGCTCCTCTGTCCTTTACTGGAGGTGGGCTCAGATACGGGCCTGAGACTCCGGTGAGTGGCCTCAGGTGACAGGCAGTGATTTTTCTATATTCAGTGAAACTCGTCCTAACACAGGGAGCTTAAGTATTGTGTGTGTGTTGACTTTACAACTAGAGGCAAGACTTTTTATCTGTAGAGTAGCATTTTGTATTACCTATGAACTTCTGCTTTGGATTAAATCAGTGACAATTTCATTTAACTGATTTTTGATCAGGGATGTGGTAGAATTGCAGAGAACAGGAAAAAATAGCATTTTCTGCTGGTTCCCCTAATAAAAAAGTATACACAAAGAACGCATAACTGTCTGGTAACTGGTTGTTGCTGAGTAAATTTTTGTTGAATGAATGAAAAAAATTGCCAACAACTAAGGATTAGTTTGCAGTACAGAAATGGGTATCTGTTGTGAACACCATGTGTCCCTCGTGTTTCCTCCTGAGTGACTGGCATGGCCTGGCCCTGCCTCAGTTCCTTTCTCAGTGGGGTTGGCGTTGTCTTTTTTTGGCCCCCATTTCCCAGCTGCCTTGTAAGAGTCTCATGAAGGTAAATAACACACGAAAGTGCCCATGGCCCTTGTGCATAGAATTGGGTACCTAACGGGCCTTCACTGGGCGAGTGGTAGGAGTGCAAACAGTAACTTCACAGACTTAAACAATTCCCTTTGACCTAACAGGCGTGCCGGGTCATGTCGCACCAGCGTGTCCCTGAGCGGGCGGCCTCTCTGGAGGGCTGGCCTGTGAGCCTTCACGAGCAGCGTCTGATACTCCCACAGCAATCCAAAGAATTAAACTTATTTCCATTGTCAGCTTGTAGATGATTTAGGAACTTAAGCTATTGAGTCTTTGAACACTTTGAATCAATATTTATCTTTGATTCATGAAAACTTTTCAGTGTCTTTTTGAAATTGTATATTCTTCTTGTGCTGGTCCTCCTTATATTTTGCTGTGTTTAAATGGGGAATTCAGGGTTTGCCCTAGGGCTCATAGCTACAAGTCCGGCCTGCTTGACACAAGAAAGCAGATCAGAGGACGGGCCCGAGCGTCTGGTGTTTGAGTGAGCCCTAGAGTTCAAGAATGAGTCAAATAAGTGCCATACTGACACGACCGTCTCCTCTCCCCAGCTCTCTGTGACATGCATCCAATGAGAGCACTGTTTCTCATTCCCAGAAACCCTCCTCCCCGGCTGAAGTCAAAAAAATGGTAAGCTACAAATGGTTTTGTTGTTGTTGTTCTTTTCTTTTAAGAAAAATTGTTCCTTTTTAGTTTTACTCCAAGGCAAAGTTCTGGCCATTCTAATCCCAAAAGAGCCAGCGCCAGTGCCCCAGACACCAGTTACATGGATCTTTTTGTTCTGTTTATTTTCCTCGATAGATTCTCTTTGTGTTAAGAAATAGTGACAAGTGGCCATATGAAACACTGTAACACGGTTAAGAAAAACGTCCCATTTTAATATTTCAACACACTTCTAAGTTTGATATATTTCTGAACATTTTTGCAGTAAAAAGCAAAGCTGAATGGACTTACAGTTCCTCAGGTGAAATGGGATGTTAGCATTAACGGTGCCATTTACTGTTATCGTTGCAAAACATGGACGTCAGGCGTCTTTCTTCATCCCAGATTCTCCCTGGAGCTCATTTATTTGCTAAAGAAAATGTGTATTCTTGGAGAGCGGCATGCCCTTTCTGAGAGCTGTGTGACCGCGGTGTGGGCTGCTGGTGTGGTGCCATGTTAATGTCGCCGAGGGAGCGCACGCTTGTTGTCTGAGCACGTTGCCCGCTCGCTCCCGCCTGAAGTGTGAGCCCTCTCGCTCAGTCCCCTTTGCGCTGTCCGTCCCACTGTGCTCGGCTAATTGGTTTGTTCCTTTCTGGAACTATTTCCCAATTAGTGTTGTCCTCTTAGGTTCTTGACTCTAATTCTGAAATACGCAGAAGACCTCAGGGTTAAGTCTTTTATTCTGGATTTGGTCTTTCGCTGTTCCTGTCTGCTCTTTTCTTCTTGGTTGCTCATCTGATGTTCTGTGGCTTCCGTTTCCTGTCTGGCTGTGTCCATGCACATGTGTTTTCACTCCTGTTTCTTTCCTGCCCCTCACTGTCCCTTCCCCCAGCACATTTCACCACCCCTGCCCCACCTTTTGTTTGCAGGCAGTATTTTTCTATTCTTTATATACTGTCTTGAACCACATTCAACTCCAGAAAACTGGGGCGCTAGTTTGTAGAAAAGTGTTTAAGGCCATATACTTGTGAAGACTCTAGCCCCAATGGTCCCCTGTACTCAGACGTGATAACAGACCTCCGTGGGTGGCCAGCTGAGGGAGACCAGTGCCTCTCGTGGAGGTCAAGGAGGAAGGGGCCGGCTCACACACATCTGGCTTGTGCTGCACTAGGCGCTGTCACTTCTCCCTTTCCTTTTCTCTGTCAGATTTTATTAAGGAGAATGTAGCTCCGTCTTCAGGGTGCCTCACAGTTTACAGGGCTTGTCATTCCTCAGTTTGGGGTCAACCACTACTATGTGCATAACACAGTGATGCAAAGGGACAGATGTGGATGACGACAAATTCTCCCTGAGAGTTCTTGCCCAAACGTCCCCCTAAACTTGATTAGATGCCTGTTCAGCCACTGCTCCAATTTACCCACGTTTTCCAAAGCAACAAGATGGCGACAGACATAAGGCTCCTTCCTTCAGGGTTGCTGTCTTTCCACTACGTGTAAGTTCTTCTGTGTAGGGAGAAGTGGCTCCCAAAAGGTGATCACGAACTCTGCCAGCAGAATGTACTAGTCGATTTTAAAGGATTGACTGTAGACCATCGATTCCCACATGTTTATCCGTGGACATGGTATGACTTTGGAATCTTTGGCATCTTTTAGTTGAGGGCTCCAACCTCAAAATCCCTGGTTCGTTAGGTCTGAGGAGTGATCCAGGTTTGTGTATTTTAATGAAGCCCCCAGGTGACCTGTGGGCGTGGGGTTTTCGAGTTACGGTGTCAGGGCGCTCCTCCCCAGCGGCTAGGACCCTCCCTGCTCCTCGCGCCCCACTGGATGAAGCAGCAGCCTCCTGCCTCGGGCCCTCTCTTAGCGGACCCCAGCCTATTTTTCTGTTCTTTTCTATGTTTCATACCAGCACTAGGAAAGGATTCATCATTCGTCACGGTTCTCTTCCTGGGTTCACGCCATTCCCTTCTCTCTGGAATGATGGCTTTTCTCACGTAACTTGGATACCAGAGGTCCTGCTCTATGCTGTCCGACCCACTGAGCACCCACCCCTCTTCCCTGTGATGACACGTGCACACACACCTCCACTGTATTTCCTGTGCGCACTTCTCATAGAGCCGAGCATAAACCAGTGTCAGTTGTCGATCCATAAATATTTGTTGAATTGAAAAAAAAACTAGTAAGTTTGAATGGAAATATAGGACAATAGAAGTGATTCTTAAAAGCAGTGAAGTAATGGGAAAGAATTGAACTAATTTTCTAATTTACATTTTTTAAACTGAATAACTCATTCATTCAACAAAAATTTATTGTGTACTTACTGTGGCCTGCCATCCTCGGTGCCGGGCATGCTGACAGATGGAGACTAGGAGCCCGTGTCAGCGCCGTGCCTTTCCCGCCGGCGGGGAGCAGGGCCATGGCGCAGTTCCTTCAGTGCAGATGCCCCGAAGAAGGGCTTCTTGCTGGGCACGTGGGGGGCTGCAGGGGAGGCTAACCCAGGAGGTGATGCCGGGCCAAGTCTCAGAAGGTGTGAAGGTCGAGTGTCTGGGCCATGACTCAGGCTGGGGGTCAGCATGAGCTAGGCCTCTCTCAGCAAAAACCCAAGTGGCTGGTCTGAGAAATGTTGGTGACAGAGTTACTTACCCCTTCAAACCATTGTTTCCAAAGCTGTACATTAGCATAAAGAGCGAATGACGATCCTATTGAGACTGGGATTGGAATGTCACGTTAACACAGCAGTCCTCAACCTGTGGGTTGCGACCCCTTTGGCGGTTGAACGACCCTTTCACAAGGGGTCGCCTAAGACTATCCTGCATATCAGATATTTACATGACGATTCATAACAGTAGCAACATTACAGTTATGAAGTAGCAACGAAAATAATTTTATGGTTGGGTCACAACATGAGGAACTGTATTTAAAGGGCCAGAAGGTTGAGAACCACTGCGTTAATAGGTTCAAGGGCCCCCGCCTCTGGTCACTTACTCGGCTCCTTCTCTTTTGTTTCTGTATTGTCCTTGTCTTCCAGGTTCCAGACATCCATCCTCCACCTACCTTCGTTTTAGCAAACCCTCCCCTGCCCCCCCCCCCCCCCCCAACTAAGTGGTTAATAATGAGCAACATGAAATTCAAACCCAGTTACTTTAGATCAGCTCTGCATGAGGAGGTCTGTGCTTATTGCCAGGGATCTGGTCCAGCCCCTGGACGGGGGACGTCTGCTCCTGGTCCCGGGCCTGAGCCCCGGGTGTCTCCCCCCGCCATGGCTGTGCGTTCCCAGGGCGCCTTGGTGTCCTGGGGCTCGTCTCTGCCCTCAGCTGATACGTCACTGATCTTTGGGAGGGTTGCTCTTTGTGGTAGACATTTGATGATCTTTTTTACTTTCTCTTACAGGTCAAAGAAATTTTTTAGTTTTATAGAAGGGTGCCTGGTGAAGAACTACATGCAGCGGCCCTCCACAGAGCAGCTCTTGAAACATCCTTTCATAAGGGACCAGCCAAATGAGAGGCAAGTTAGAATCCAGCTGAAGGATCACATAGACCGGACCAGGAAGAAGAGAGGAGAGAAAGGTATTAGACCTGTTTTTATTTCATCTTAAACATATATATTTTGCCAACTAGATAGGTTGCTCCTGCCCGCTGGGCTCTGCCCGCAGGCCCGCGAAGAGCCAGGTCCAGCAGCTGCGGCGGGCCCAGGGCCTGCAGGCCTCGCCATGCCAGCGTTCGGCTCGCCCAGCCTCCAAGAGGCAGTGCCGTGAGTGTGTGTGGCCGGGTGACCTTGTGGATGTGTATGCAGACGGACCTGCAGCTGCATGTGACGTAGGCGTAACCCATTTCAGTTCTCAGTCTGCATTTTTCTTACCAGGAAACTGGTTTTAAATGTATGTCTCTGGAAAAAAGTTAGAAATGTATTTTTTGTGAAGAGACTTTGTTTATAAATTTCTTCAACCTTCCTGGTTTGGATTGCTCCGTCGAGGGAAATTGCTCACTGAAAGCCAGGTACTGACATTCAGGTCAGGGTCCAACCAAATGGACTGTTGCTTTTGGGGAAATGGCATAGAACCTATGGAAGTGAAAATAAGTTATTCGTGTTGAAACTTAGTCTGGTCTAAGGAGAGCCAATTTTGTCTCCCTCTGCTGTATTGTTTCATCAATTTCTCCATGATTCCACCTTTATAACTGTGGGAACATTGATTTTGTTTTTTCTGCCATTAGTATCTACTTCCTGCTTCCCTTTCTGCCCCCAGCAGACTCTGCTGCACTTTAGGGGGATCCCCGAGGGGGATCCCCGAGCACTAACAATAAACATTTTATTATGTACATATACATGTATACACACACACATCTTAAATCTTTATTGTCGAAAGTATTACATATGTCCCCTTTCTCCCCACATTGACCCCCTCCAGCCTATCCCTGCCCCCGCCTTAGTTTGGGCAGTGAAATCTCCTTTTTTTGAAATTCGGCATCAGCGTGGATTTTCTGAATTTTCTGACACTCTTGGGCCATTTTTCTTCTGTGTCCAGGGCTCTGGGCCTGTCCTGGCCCTGCTCCCTCGGCGGACATCCTGTGGGGGTGTCTTGGATGCACAGATCTGCTCTCGTGGGGGGAGTACGGCCAAGGAGCAGCCCTCCCTGTGGAAGGTGCGGTCACGTGCCTCCTCCCCCACGCTCTGTACACATCGCTGTTTTCACCAAGAACGTGTTGTTCACACGCTCCTGGAGACTTGCCTGTGTGTGCACGTGTCATGATTTGTGAACAGTCCCGTTCGTCTTTTCTGAACAGATGAAACGGAATACGAGTACAGCGGCAGTGAGGAGGAAGAGGAGGAGGTGCCCGAGCAGGAAGGAGAGCCGAGGTATGCCAGCCGCTGGTCCACAGAGCGACGCGGGCTCTCAGAGGACGCCCTTCTCCATAGCGGGCAGGATCTCACCTGACTCTGGAAGGGCCTTAGTAGCCTCCATTCTTCTCTATTTTTTGAAACATTTCTATAAGCATGTCCCCCTCTAGCTCTTTCCCACTGATCCTTTACCAAGATTGCATTGCTCCTCCCCACCCCCCGCCCCAGTCCTTAGGGAATGTGTGGGCTATGTGAGGTCCTGAGGAAGGGAGCCTGCAGCTGGCACCCCAGGCAAGAGGCCCTGCACGCACACAGTCCGCTCGGCCGGGAGGGCCGCCATGGAGAAACTGCACTTATACCCAAAACGTTTTTTTTTGTTTTGCTCCCACAAATGTGGTGAGCAGCATTCCATTTCCTTTATTAGGTATACTCTGTCCTGACCCATTTCGTAGCCCATGGTCCTCTCTGCCTCCCAATGTACAGGGAAGCAGAAGGATGAAGAGTTGGTTGTATGGACCTCGAGGAAACTAATTAGTCAAAAGATAGAGGAGTTTAAAATTGTAGTACTGGTCTTGCCTGGCTGATGCTGTAGCTACACATACTAGCTAACCAACGGAACAAGGCCGGTAGGAGGGTGAAGGGCCTGAGGGCACCCGTGTGTACAGCTGGCAGCTTGACGAGAGCATAGCAGGAAATAGGAGAATTTGTTGAAAAAACTTCGTAATGTCCTTTTCTTCATACAGAGACTTGAATCCATTTGAGACTAAAACTTTTAGAGTAATTTGAATTGATGCCATGAGCAATGCAGTTGTTTTGGGGTAGGAGCAGCATCTAATGAAAGAGGCTGTGGAAGCAGATTCCTTTGCCATGTTACTCCAGTGTTTGGGAGTGGAAGGTGGAAGACCAGCTAGGAAGGGTGCTGCTCGGTCAGTGCTTAACGTCTGGGACTCCCTGGGGCTCCGCAGCTGACCCCGGACCCACAGGAGGTTCGAGGGAACACCCGGTGAGACTCGTGTACAGATGACGCAAATGAAGGTGCTGAAGGTTACGTGGTATTTCTTGCCCAGCAGACCAGAGCATGACGTGACTGTCACTGATGGGAAGTAAGGTGGTCAGACAGGGATGCTCCCAGCTTTTAATTTTAGAGTTGAGTTATGTGAGAGTCCTAAGGGAGATGTACCCAGGCCAGAGTTTTAAGATGTTTATGAGATGCATGAAAGCAGGTAAGTACTACTGAGTTGTACGTGTGGTTACTGCCGTGGACTTGTTGGAAGGCGGGTTACGGCGACAGGAGCTGGAGCTGCTTCTCAGAGGCAGCGGCCACCTGAGCACCCCTTCCTCCCGCAGCTCCATTGTGAACGTGCCTGGGGAGTCCACTCTGCGTCGCGATTTCCTGCGGCTGCAGCAGGAGAACAAGGAGCGCTCTGAGGCTCTTCGGAGACAACAGCTGCTTCAGGAGCAGCAGCTGCGGGAGCAGGAGGAGTATAAAAGGCAGCTGCTGGCCGAGAGGCAGAAACGGATTGAGCAGCAGAAGGAACAGCGGCGGCGGCTGGAAGAGGTAGAGAAAGGACATGTCCAAGTTGCTTTCTCTTTCTTTATTCACATTGGTCGCTAGACACTCACAGGGCATTGTCTGCAGCTCCCGAGGCTGCAGCCTGGCCAAGCTCTGCCGCCACGGGATGCAGGCCTTCACGTTCCTCGTGAAAACGCCAGGGGCCTGCCCTGCTGCTCCTCACACGGTGCCGGCCGGGCGTGCGGTGGCTCGCACTGGCTCTGAGAAGCCGCTCCCTGGGGTTCGGCTCAGGCTCCACCTGATTTCTTCTCTCTCTTGGCCTCTGGGTTCAAGTTTGCATGTACATATTTTTTCTGAAACCTCTGAGTTTTTCATATGAAAACTTTTCTGCAAATGCCTTAACTTCAGGTACATTGAAGGTAAGGAATGAAGAAAAGAATCATGCTGTGTGCCATGCAAGCGCTGTTCTGTAACCTGGCTGTAAGCATGCGATTGGCCATGTCCTGTGGTGGGAAATACATTTTGTACCACCTGCTCATTTACCTCAGGGACACCGTTAACGTTGGTAATGTGGTTACAGCTATTTCATTTTTAATTCACAGAAACATTGTTTTCCTATATTTCACTTGGGGTTCAAAAGTGGGTTTTGATTTTATTTTCCTAACTGGTTTTATTTTATATTTCACAGCTCCAGGTTTCTCATTCATAATATTTCTGTCCACTTTATTTACATACTTACTGTTTTACCTCTATCACTCCAGAAAAAGAATGCAAAACATATATAGATATAATATCAATACTGGGCTTTGCTCTATAAATAAAATAACAACACACGCTGTTACCCAAATTACTTCAGAATACATTTTGTAGGGGAAGACTTTGTTTCGTTTTCTGTGTTTTTAACCTGAATTCTGCAGACTTTAAATTCACCCCAGCCTTAGGAAATCTGTGCCTGTCTGCCCGAGAGACTGTGAAGTTCATCCAGAGTGTGTGGAAGAGAACCTCAGACAAAGCCTCCCTCTGCAGGAGGGACACTGTTCGCGGGACGCTCTTGGCGGTGTATTTGCTCTCGGGGGTATTTTTAAAGCTGTCCTCAATGCTCTTTGAAAGGGATGCAGTGGATCCGAGGCTACGAGGCGCATGTTGAGCACAGGACTGTGGGGATGCTTGGGTTCTGAGGCTCTTTCTGGTTGTTGACCTGGAACCTGCAGCTGTTCACTGTCCTTTCTGACTGTGGGCTGTCCTTCCCTTTAGCACAAGAAACAGGTGGGTTGGGTGGTTTATAACTTAAGTGCGAAGGCAGCTCAGCCAGAGCTGGTTTGTGGCACAGGCCCGGGAGCTGCAGCTGGCCGAGCGGTGCTGGGTCCCGCTTCCTGCAGCCTCCGCAAGGAGCAGGACCTACGCAGGGACTTCTGCTCAAGGAGAACTTAGTGCTCACTGCTAATGTCATGGCGCCTTTAGTGTCAGCTCCTCAGTAAACGTTCACACTCAGAGTCGGGAAAGAGGGAACTGCATAGGGACACAGGCGAGTGTGGGCTCCTGGTGCGCGGGCTCTTGTGTTGGCCTGGGGAGTGAAGCCATTGGGAATATTTGAGCCATCAGTGGTTTGTCGCCCTGAATTAGCATTCAAGGTTCAATCAGAACTGTTTGCGGACTAGGGATGTCTTTTGTTATTAACAGACAAAGTAGATAAAGGTGATCGGCTCACTCATAAGACAAGTGACAATTAAAACTGAAGGGAATAACTTTCTACCTGTGAGTGCCGGAAAATAAAAAGGCCCAAAAGCTGAGATTATGGGAACACAGTGCAGCTGTCCTTTCTTTGAAATGGCCACAAGGTCAGGCCCATGATGTGGGTGGGGGTGAGGGCTTCTGCCAGCCCCCCTGTTCCTGACCCCCGGCAGGTGAGCATTCCTGCTCTGCCCACACACACTCCCTCCCCCTCCGGGGCTCCGGAAAGTGCTGCTGCCGCCCTCTTCCCCTCCGAGGTCCCAGCCTCCTCTCCCTGGCGCCTTTGTGAACTGAGGGTCTGAGAAGTCCTTAAAGATATGTTCCCGTCTTTCAGTTTTGCTGAAAGTGCGGTTTTTGTTTATGTTTTCCATTTTCTCTGTTGCTTTTGGCTGTCCCAGGAGGATGGGAGCTGAGGGCATGAGCGCATTAGTATGGGTTTCCCCATGATTCCCGCTCGTGCCTCAGAGCCCGGCCGGCTCCCTCCTGGCACAGGGCTGCTCGGCTCACTGCGTGTGTCACTGGGGTCGAAGCCGTGGGCTGCAGATCTCCTCTGCACAAAGTTCCCTGCCACACCTTACATTTCACAGCGACATACATCCTCCCAGCCTGGGCTCAGACAGAACTTGGTCTCTAGCTTTTTTCCCCCATAAAAATGGTTCGTGGGCTAGATTTTTCTCCCGTTCTATTCTCACTTGTTTTTAGAGCAAAAATGAAGACTATTTCATAGTATTGTCATTTTACCCTAATGGTTTGTGGTCTTGTTTTTATTGAATCTTGATTCGATACCTAAATTCTTCCTCCTTATTCCCATGACATCCGGGTATTTGATAAGTATGTTTTCTCTTTTGTTTTTAATGTTTTTTTTAAATTATTATTATTGATTTTTACAGAGAGGGAGGAAGGGAGCAATAGAAACATTGATCAGCTGCCTCCTGCATGCCCCCCACTTGGGATGGAGCCTGCAACCCAGGCATGTGCCCTGACCAGGAATTGAACTGTGACCTCTTGTGCACAGAGCAACGCTCAACCACCGAGCCACATGAACCGAGCTATTTTCTCATTCTTTGTCTAAGTTTAATACAGAATTGTAGACAGAAGTTTCTCTTTGAGAAAAGCCTGTCGGTAGTCCAGGTCAAAGTCACTGCCTTAATCGATGTACTTGGATAGGGCTCCTGTCTCCTACTCTCTCCTTCTTCATTCTGACCTCCGGCGAGCTGTGCATCACTAGTGAAAGCAAGACAGTGTGTCTGGTTTGCTGTGCTGCCTCTTTCCTTCTAGAAAGGAGTCCACGGTGCCGTGCCGCAGGGCCACATGCTGCTCCTTACTGAGTATAAATGACCTTTTTCAGTATAAATAGGAGTCAAAATCACACTTTTCCTCTGACGTAAGAACTTATCCTTTTCTTAAAAAATAAACCAAAAATGTGGGAAAAGCTCAATTCCCTGTCTTCCAGCCCTGCCCTGCCCCGGCGTGTGCTCCTAGACCTCAGGAGTCGCTGTTGCATCCGGTCAAGACCACGCTGAGCAGCGCAGCCTTTCCCTGCTACTTGTTCCCCTTTCTGTTCTTTCTTTCTATTCTTCCTTTCTATTCTGTCTTTCCCTCCCTTCCTCCCCACCTCCCTTCCTTTCGTCTCTCTCTCCTAACCTGAAGATATTTTCCCTGTTGATTTTTAGAATGAAAGGGAGGGAGGGGGAAAGAGAAGAAACATGGATGTGAGAGACATTGGTTGCCTCCCGCACAAATCCCATCAGGGCAGGGAACCTACAACACGCCCTTGACCAGGAATCAAACCCTTGACCATTCGGTGAGCGAGCCGAAGCTCTACCACTGAGCCACCCCTAGGGCCCCCTTTCTGTTCTTGAGCAAACACTGCTGGTGGGATGTCCAGGACCTGCCTGCCTCAGAGCATTTCTGCAGGTGTTTAAAAATGCCTTCCTGTCTCTATGACCTTCCCTTTCCAGCGTCGAGCGCAGAGGTGCCATCGCCACTCTGTGACTTGGGAGCTGCTTGCCCCTGGAGGCAGGGTGTCTGTGCTGTGCCTTTCCTTCCACCCAGGGACACTTCGTCTCTGTCATTCCACAAATTCCAGTGACTAACATCTTAGAGAGGGGGTGGAAATGGAAGAAATGAAAAACAAAGGAAGACAAGAGGAAACTGTATGTGACATGGGATTAGTACTAAAGCTAAAAGGAAACACAGGAAAACATGTAAGTTTCTAAGAAAACAGTTAATAAACTGTGATGCGTTTGCTGTGTGTCTTGGCTCTGCGATCTTGGAAGGCGGGTGAACGTCGCCCCAACAGTGTTCCTGTGTGTGCTGGTGAGATAGCCATTCCTCCCCTCTGCTCGAAGGCGTTGCTCGCGGCGGCGGCCGGGTGACCGCCTGCACAGCGCAGCTCTCTGGTCTTAGGACACCTGTGAGTTCTTAAGTCTAGTGTTCGGCCATGTTGACAGTTACATTTTGTAAGAGTTAGTTTCACATGGCAAACGCTACTTGTTGCCTAAAGACGGGAAGAGTGGCTTTGTCAGAGGCCCCACTTGGAAAAGCCCAGGTCTGGTGGCACCTGTGCCCGGCCCCGTGACCACGGAGTTCTTGGAAGTGGTGGACTCCGGAGCAGAGTCTGGTTCTGCTGCAGCCGGGAGCCCAGTGCTGTGTATTTAAGTGGGCCTCACTGTTACCAGTGCACATAGTTAGAAAAGTCTTCAAAATGTGAGGTCAAAGCATTGCTTTTTAAATACCAAACAAGAAAGGGAACTTACGATCATCAAAGCATATTGACTCAGGCACGCTTGGAAAAATTTAAGTAGTAAGGAAATCTCTTCATAATTTTAGAGATTTAATTATGCAGTTTCACAGCATCACGCAGTTTCTCAGTTTGTTCGATTTGTTTCTAAAGAATTACTTAAGAAAACAATAATGACCGCAGTTTGCTTCGAAGCATTATGTTGTTTATTATTCTCAGCAGGTGGACCTGAAAAGGCATGTTTCTTAGATTCCCCTGGATTTTGTTATTTGAAATCTCAGCATAAGGTTATCTGGGATGGGAGGCTGTTGCTTATTGGATGTTTTATTTTTGGTTATTTTCTTGCAAGAGGACAGCTCTCACATTAATCATGTATAAGAAGGTACTTACTAAAGGTTTTCTTTAACTTTTAATTACCCCCTCCCCCAGTTGAGGGCCTATTCTGACTGGTGATTTTTACAGTTTCCAGTACTAGAACGTAATGTGGGAGAGGTGTCGGGACTGCTTGTGCACGGCCTTTGCCGCAGCCGCCCAACCAGGCCCTGCTTAGTGGGCTGGTCCTGGGAAACTT